AAATTTATTAATATATTCTGAGCATTTGAATTTGATTCAAACGATGTTAATGGTGATAAATCTGTTCCACCATTTACATCAGCAAAATGATCTCGTACCTAAACAAAGAAACGAAAATTAATTAAGATTTCAGTAGGATATCTCGTATAGATGTGATCTTATCTCTTACGTTAGTCAAAGACCATAGTGCAGACGAGAAATATTAGAAGGAGTATCTATAAGATTGGTAACAAGTGTGAACGCAAAGTAGAGAGATCCAGACTTGTTACTTTAAAGTGAAACATTTGCTTGTAAGATCAGCCATAAATCTAAATGAGAGAGGATACGGAATGATAGTCCTTCTCACTTTTTGGTTGTGTCTGTCAAATCTTACAGATATTATTATAGGATTCGTCAAAGCAAACTATTAGTTTCTGGCACCTCTGACTTTATTTCATCATTTTCTTTGGTATTTTACAATAAATCTCTTCTTATAGAGTTCAAAAGATCAAGTGGATATATTTATTATTTTGGAAAATTTCATCAAATACATAAGAAAAGGAAAAATATATATATATCCATGATAAAAAAAAGTCCTCAACTGTTGTCAAAAAAGAACAATGCCAAAAATACAATAGTTATTTTTATTTATATAATGGCATGGGGCGAAGAGTCCTGACAAACTATTCCATGACACCCTTTTTTCTAAGAAGTTATTCTGCTCTGGTTCTGGCATACGTTGTCATCCATGTAATAGTGGCATATTGATACTTATCAAAGAATATTTTCTGATGTATCTCTCATTGTAATAACTGTAAATAATAGATTTATTATACAAAAGGCCATCATTGGTCTCATATTATATTATGCAGAAAGAATATCGTAATCAAACTTAAAAACTTCTAAAATTTCAACATTTTCTTTAGTTCATATTTTTTTTGTAAGATACCTGATTATGAATATCTCTTTGAGTTTCAATTTTTGCTTCTTCTGACAATTGATCAACTTTATGTATAAATACTTCATATCTTAATCTTGGATTAACATGTCTACCTGATTGTATTATCATATTTAAATTCGATACTGATTGAATATAGTCATCTTGAGCATCAATTATATATACAACAGCATTACATTGTTTTAGTAAAAGTTCTATATCACAACCATCACTAACAAGATGTGTTGTATTATCATCATATAATGATGATTGACCATTCTGTGCACCATTACTATGTGAAAATTGTAAGGATGGAAATGTGTGTAATTGACCGGGTAATTCTTGTACTTGAAAATTAATGAGTGAACCACAAGAAAATTGATTTATAGTTAAATGTGGAGTTGATTTAAGAAATTGTGTTTGTGATGGTTGTATCTTAGTAAATATAACATGTTGTATAGATGTTTTACCTGATCGTCGAAGACCAGTTAATAGAATATTTGGACGCATAAATGATGTTTTATTATCATTTCTGTCATCATCAATATCATTTACCATTGTTAATGTTTCTTTAATCATGAAGAAAATTTTGTTTTGTATGATAATCTGAAAAAAATCAACATGGATTGATTGTTTTTGACACCAACAAGAGATAGACTAGGAAAATGATGTAAGATAACAAGATATTATACATAAGATGAAGGTATATCTTTTTTTTTCTGTTCATTTGATTGAATAGATGAAGTTCGGCAATATTCACTATGCTTAAATAAAGATATTTTATTGCATGATGAAAAAATTCAAAAATCAAACATATAATCCAGATGAACTTGAAGCAGATGATTCTCGCTTTGATTTATATCGAGTTGTCGTATCCAAGTGGAATAAACAAGCAACACTACGACGGATGATTATCTTAAATAAAACATACCACAAATAAATCTTTAGAAAAATTCTTTGAATAAGTTTATATTGATTGTTTACGATCGTCTTGTCGTCGATCATGATCTTATTTACTAATCACTCAATGTTATAGATAATCATCTTTTCTTGTACTTCAGTAAGAATAAACAATATTACTATATTCTTGACGTAATGACAACCGCTATTAAGAAAAACCAATGGCGTATTAAGGCCAATCGCACAGTAAAATGTCACCGTTAACAAGATAATAATATAGGATCCGCAAAACGCATATACTTAATGCATATTTCTTTGTTCTGATAATCAAAAGAAACATTTTAGATATATTATATATAGATTTGTTTCCTTACAATTATTCTGTATAGATAAAAACTATTATACAGAATAATATTTCATCCGACTGAAGATGTATCTATTATTTCGAGATTGTGATGTTAGATGGGTAAAAATAAGAAGTGTATCAAATGTTAAATAAGAAAAATCATAAGAATTTTATCACTGTGTATCTCGAATTGCTTGGGAGATACTTTATTAGTTTTTGAAACAAGTATTTTCACAAAACAATTACCTTCATCTTCAAACGGAAGACAAAGAGTGCATAGTCGTTACTCCTATTTTGTCTCTGTGTGATTAAATAAATTGGTTTCTGTTTAACATGTAATGTTTCTTGAGAAAAATGCTACCAATACTTTATGGGCGTCGCATACTGCCATGGAACTTTCTTGTCTGATCAGCAAAGCTATATAATTTTGATTTAAAAAAGAGAATAGAATCATATAAGGTTCTTTGGAAATTCTTTGTGGACCTTGAGCGTAAAGGTAGTAGATCGAATATATCTCTGAAGTTGTCTACAACTTAGCAGCTGTTACCCGAGCTTTGAAGAAGCCCTCGAGTCTGTCATAAGTCAAGTAGACTGCTTAAAATAGATTGACTCCACCTCCCTGTCCGCCATGGTTTTTCTAAATTGTCAATCAGAAAATTTGACTTTTTAGCCAGGACATGTAACTATCCAAATATACAATCGAGTATTATTGCCGCCAGAAAACGAGAAACTATTTTTTTTTAATCATCTTGACTGAATACAATCATGGCCATGTATAGCTTATGACAACATAGTTTGTTTTGTTGTCCATTTAGCTGTTTCACAAAGTCACTGTTCGCACTTTATAATTAGTCCTCATTATCATCTTACATAAATTGTTAACTAATTTTTGTTTCAGCCTGATTTGCTTTTCTATTGTCATCATATGGCAAGATTTAATATGTCCTTGATAAGTTCTTCAAAACGTTTTTATTCGAAACCAGAATTACTTTTAAATGTCCATATTTTCTTTTTTATGTACTTACCAAAGCCACATAATGTACCTATTCAAATAATGTATCATATATTCATATCATATCGGTATACATGACTTTTTTTAACTTTTTATAAATAGTCTTCTGTTTTCATTCAATTAACATTATCTTATTAATACATAAAAAAAATATAGATTATGATAGGCAGAACATACGTATACAAAGTAGAGCTCTTTAGGCATCTGGTTGTCGTGACCCAAGCTTCTCCTGTTTGTGTTCTGCTATAAAACGCACTCAGATAAACTTTTCTTTCATTCTGTATGCTACTATGACATGATAACATCCTGACCTTATCTATATAAGTTTGTTGTTTTGATAGTTGTTCACACGCTGATGTTTCTATTTTTTTCTTATTGTTATATATTATATAGTAAAGCTAAAAAGTTTATTAAACTCTTCATAGACGAAGTTTGACAAAAATGCTTTTGCATATGTTAGTGTGACTCTTGTCTACATATAGCTTAAGTTTTATAATTTATTTATGTCAAGTAATATTTCTTTTCATCGTAAACTTGTTGTGTTGTATAAAAGGAAATATTAAAAATAATGCTGTTTGAGTTTGATTATATCATACAAAACTATATGATACTTTAATAATGGAAACCAGTGAATTTTTTCGATTTCGAATAAAAAATTTGTAATAAAGATGTTCTGACTGAAGAGCAAGTAAAAGTTTATTAAAAATATAGGTGTTCATTTCTAAATTAATATTTAGTTTTCTATGATCAATTGATAAATATTTCAAAAAACATTCTATTCCATATTTTTGTAAAACACGATCTGAAAGGAGTATTGAAATATATATGAAAGAAATTTTGATCCACTCCCCCTAGACCATGACAGTCGTCTTAACAAGATCTCCCCTTTCCATCACAGAACGTGCAAAGCATTGTTGATATTCGATTAAAGATTGTAATATCAATAACGTCTCGTTTCGATATATGAATTACTTCCTTATTGGATTTCTGAAGGATTAAGTAAAAAGATGTTGAAGATATGTATCTGAATATAGATAGTATAAAACAATTTCTCTGTGATTAACAACAGCGGCTAACCATGCCTCGCATTTTAATCTCACAGGAATATGCGCTAGCAACATTTTATGCAGTACACGATGGTGGTCCAAAGCAGCCAGCATTGAGGTGCTACGGCTCTACCCAGAAAAAATTAAAATTTTTCCATGAATAGGGTTATTACACGTTTAACAACGCGTCCCTCTTCGGCAGATCACCATTAGTAGTACAGCACGTTTGCGATGGCAGATAGTGTCCTTATCATGAAACTCACGTAAATTTAGACGATTAATCGCGGTATTCGAAAAACTCACCAATTAATTGCGATTGATTGACAATTTTTCAAAAACAACGACGTAAGAATGATCTACATAAAAATTATTCGTATATTTTACGTAGGATATCTTAGGTCAGAATTTGAGTATTTCCTATCGCAATTTTCTATACCACTAAATTCAACTTTGCTTTTGATGGACCCAGGTAGAACTCCAAGAGCTCTACAGGATGCACTAATTTATTTTTTACTTTTGCCGAATTAATCAGAAAATAATTCCAAAACGTTGCAGGTTCTGTCCCCAAAAGTGCAATTCTTGTTGTATTTTCCGTCATGATTCGTTCACTGATTGAATCCAGGCCTCTACTTGAATGATGGATCTAAGTAGGACTTGATGAATGAGCACTGCAAAATACACTGATTTTTTATTCATTTTCGATGATGATTCATCGAAAAAAAAGCTCATCAACATAGTACATTCACATGTATCGTATATAGAACGAAAAAAAATTCTTATTACGATTTTTTTATTCGACTGCACCCGTGTATAAGATTGATAGACTCAAACAATACTTGAGGAGCTCTGCAAGAGACTTTTTTTCTTTCGTTCGACAAGAAACTTAATAATGTGCTGATCTCTACGCCAAATATGGTATAGAGAAAGGCGAGTACATTCATGATGATCTCAATCTAATATAATAATAGGTTCACCCGAGATGGAATCATCTTGATGTGTTTTGGTATTGAGATCTCATGTTTCTTTCTCAAGCTTACCAGAAAGATCATCAATAGTTACGGTCGCATGTACTAAATGCTGAAGAACGATTCGTTTCGATATAGATTTTTTTTTGCATTTTATGAACGAATATTCGACATTTTATCACCAGATTAAATACAACTTTGATTTTGAGGAGTCTACCATTGGCTATTAATCCCTTATTTGTATAGAAACGTACTCATAGGCCTTTGATCTTTAATCTTTGACCTTTGAACCTAGTTGATAAGGTCTGTGTTGGAAAGTGGTAGGAATTTAGGCTCTTCACAGACCAAAGCAGACTCTATCAGCCGACCATCGCAGATCATAACAGACACAGACTACAGACCATCGCAGACTATGGCAGACAGAGGGTGCAGACGGAGGAGAAAACGGCGTGCTTCCGTACTCCCTGTGCTTCCGGAGTACAGGGAGTACACGAAGTACAGGGAGCACGCCGTTTCCCCCTTGGTTTTTTCGCAAAGATATTTTTTCATTTATCATTGTATTTGTGTGGAACTTGCATAAATTTTCGAAGAAAATAATCAATGGAAGTTTTAAATCGAGATTTTGCGGCTCCTTCCACCTCTCTCCATCCTTCATTATAGACCTTAGCAATCTATCTCCTATTATAGACATCTCTCCATTACAGACAGCTCCCTATTACAAGCAGACGTGACATAATAAATGGTTGATGTGTTTCATAATCGTTCTACTGCATCTAAACCTTCGCTGAAAACGTATATCTATAAAACTAGAGTAATAATACTAAAAAAAAGAAAATTTCTAGTAAAATAGTTTCTAGTTTATATAAATATGTGAGTTCTACATATTAACAGCAATGGACTGCGTTCACATACTTCTATAAAGAATTTCGAAGAAAAATTAAATTAAATATTGTGAGAGTTTCAATAAAAACAATATCTGAATGCATAAATAAACAAATGATATGAAAAGACTTTTGTAAAAAAATGTAACGAAGGTGAGCAGTTAAAGAAATCTAAATATGAATATATTTTCGTTCAAAGAACAAATTGTTAGTATTGAAAATTTCACTTTACTTGAGGGTGTTCAACTGAATTATGACAAAAAATGATTTCTAGTTAGTAGATATTTTCAATTTGAGTAATATTGATTTTTGTTTAGACAAATACCATCTTAACGATTATCATAATAATGTTCGTTAAGTTTTCTTTTTGTTAGCTTCAATTTTTTATACTCAAATATTCTTTAATTATTTTTTTTAAATAAATACATTTCTAAATCCTTATTATGATTTTAATATGCTTTAGATTCAATCACTCGATTCTCTTCATGATAATAAATTAGGTTTTTAACAAGATTTTTATTATTTCGATTATTTTCCAAATTAGTATTTTACAAAAAAAAAAGAAAACATAGATGTTGTCTCTTTATAAAGATGATAGAATCGCTAAACTTGGAAAATCATTTATAAATCGATAATGACTTATCAAGAAATATTCAAGTTTCATAATAAGACATCAATATTAGTATGAAATAATCATGATTGCACGTCTATTAATAGGTAAATTAATGATAGTAACCATTCTATAATCTCTAGTGTTATTATAAGTCACTGAAGAAAGTCCGATATATTTAAAATCAACAAATAACATTCTATAGTAAAAATATCTTCAACATAGTTTCATCTGATTGATTTATCTACATATTTCTTTTTATAAAAAAAATCCTTTGTTAAAATAATTGATCATCAATGATTGGTTCTCATTTCAACAATGTCCGTCAAGCATAACTCTTCACATATTCATATATATATATACGTCTATTCGAATTTCAGTCGAACACATCATGTCAATAATGAAATATTTATCAAGTATGTATATGGAATTATTTGACAACATCCATTTATTTTTTTTCTTGTTTTCTACAGAAGACAATATTCAACTACTCGATTTATCTGACGAAATAATTTTAACTATTATGAATAAAGTCAAACCTCGCGTGTTATTACTTTGTTCTATTATTACTATTGGTAACAATCGTTTGGAACAACTTGCACTTGATAAATGTCAAGCAATAGATTTGACTTGTAATTACTTTCAATTACAAGATCAATCACTTTTTCAAAGACGATTTTATTCACATGTCATGCCTCGTATCTTCAATAATATTCAATCATTGACACTCTATATTCAACATCTTCCGGATATTGTCACTTTTGCTGAAAAAAATTCTAATAGAATTCTTCCAAATTTGATACATTTAAAAATAATGCTTTGTAGGCGAAATCCTAAAACATGGACATCATTTATACTAGGTAAATTATTCTTAAATATATTTTTTCAAAGATCTTACGTACTACTTATGTTGATTTTCTATTTAGTAAATATGTGAAATTTTATGAATTAACTATTTGAAAATGTCTTGTTTGTATTTTGTGCTAAAGAAGTTTATGTGTTACTTTTCTACAGAGAACTGTTACACATTTTAAAGAAATCATTAGAAAACCTATCACATCATTTTATTTCTATTTTGAAATATTATCGATTCTTTCAGAAAAATACTAGTTAAAAAAAAAAATATAGAAAAGTCTTTTTAATTCAATATTATCAAAAAAAATCAAACGATTATATTGAAAAAATATTAGATTATACCATATACACATATATATTTTAGGTTCTGGTATTTACAGTGTTTTTCGTCATTGCCCTCTTGTCTCAACTGTACCTAATTTAATTCGATTAACTGGATCTTCTAGTGGTGAAATCTTATCTAGTTTTTGCTCTTCGACACTAATACCTTCTATTATATCATTTGAACTTGATGATGACTGTGTTTTACCACATGTATCGAATGATTACTATTTATTCTTTCCTCAATCAATTCAACTGTCACATATCCAAATAACATTATGTTATATTGATGATTGCATTTGTTTACTAAAACAATTAGGTTCACAACTCTATTCATTGATTGTGAACATTGTATATGTTGATGATACGACAACTTGTATTATATCTAAAATACCATTAGTAAGTTATATTTCTTAATTTCAAATTTCATTCAATTTATTTATTTAGATTTTATGTCCAAACTTAAAACAATTGACAATGACAATCTATCGTAATTTTGTTAATTATAAAAAATGTATTGTACCTCTTCTACAACGTTTGTCAAATGTTGAATATTTAACATTATTATTAGCTATTGGTGAAAAAGGTGGTATACCTAATCATTTTATTGATGGATATGATTTAGAGAATGATTTTATTTCATACATGCCTCATTTATGTCAATTTAATTTTCACATTCGTTCTATATTAGAGAACGCTCCACATGTTGAACTTGACACAATTCGTCAAAGTTTTTTTCGACGACAACAACAGTCTATTGATTGTACACTCGACTATTTCAATAATAATTATGGTCAATGTCAAATCTATTCACTTCCATTCATTGGTACTCGTCTTGAATTTATTTCCAATCGATTTCCACTCTTTGATACCACTAACACATTCTGCATGGTTACTATGTTATTACTTTTTGATGATATCAAACCATTTGAAAGTATTTTCTTTGAACGTATAGCTCAAGCTTTACCTCATCTCAAAATACTTGAAGTATTTAATAAACTTGAACAACAAGAGAAGATAACAGCAATGACAAACAGTCTTAAGTTTACTCATTTAACTACACTGATTCTATTTGATATTCATATGGACTATGCTGAACAATTACTTTGTCGAACTTGTCTTCCTTGTTTAAACGAACTTGCTATTCGTAATGATATACTGTTAGCAATAATCGCTCAAGATCAATATCAAACAAGAAATAATTGTTCTAGAGTAGAACGATTACGAACCTCTGAACCATTATATGAATCACTAAATGTTCTTCGAAACTATTTTCCACCAGATTCTTATGTAAAACATGAGAAAGAAATACAAACAACATAAATTAATTCTATAAAAGTATAATCAATTATTTCTCTTGGCAAACTTTTGTTTTTGAATAATCAATACAATAGAAATATTGTGGAAATCTATTTCGATTTAAATATATCATGAATTTATTAATTCAGTTGAAAAATAATGAAATATATTAAGTTTTTTTGGTAAAACAAAAAAAAAAGATTTTTATATTTTTCTTTTGTTAATTATGTCATCTATTCAAAAAGAAATAAAAGTCTGAAGATATATTTCATTTATTAATGAATAAAATGAGATATGAATTTTTCTTTAGTATTATGCTTGTGCAATGCGTTCCATTGATTTAAGTTCAGGTGCAACCATTTCTTGAAAACTTTGTCGATCCATCATCATACATGTAACCGGATCTCTGGCTTTCACTGCCACATGAGACGGAATATTAAAAAACATTGGTAATGCACCGAAAAAATCACCTTGACCTAATGTTTTTAATACAACTTCTTGATCTGATGATGATTTTTTTGAGACCACAACCTGCCCTAAAATAAAAGAATTTGTTTTAATGAAGAAAAAAAGAATGTTTTTATTTTCTGTTACTTACCGCTAGTAATTATGAAAAAGAAATTGACTTGTTCTCCTTGTGCAATTATATATCGATCAGGATTGAACGTAATTTGACGCAATTTATGTGCAAGACCTACTCGTTTTGATCGATACAAGTGTATGAAAATATCAATATTTGCCAATCGGGAAACGTAGTCTTCAATCACCTAAATGATAAACGGATTATTAAGTAAATTAAAGAAAAGTCTTTTACTTACAGTTGTTTGATTAAATTCTGGATTCGTTGTTATATCTAATATGAAAATAAAGCCAGTAAAGCGTTTATATACATATTTATGAAAAAAAAAATCATCCATTCTATCGTTCTACATTCGTAATAGTGACGATAGTTCTAGAATGTGAAAATAATGGGAAATTACACTGAATCGAAGCAAGTGAAAAAAATCTGAGAGAGAGAAAAAGAGAAATGCACGTGTACCATAATATACTGGTTTCGATTCGGGTGTGGGTGAAGAGACGATCAACACCCACACCCATTCTTACGTACAACCACACTGATATGCCAGCTGATGCCGCGCTTTCCAAAGAAGTATGATTGGCCTTCTCGATGTGTTTCTGGCAACCATATCATTGCCCAGTCCATGTATACGTACACAGAGTTGTTAGTTAGTGTACCAAGTATTTCTTGACGGCAGAGATCTTGATTGATTGCACGAAGCAGATGAGATTTCCAATCGTCGATCGTCTGTCTGTATGACATAAACTTGACGAGTAATTGAGCCTTTATTTGTTCATCATCGTTAGAGTTATTAATGGATTCCTTGATCTCCTCAAAAGTAACCCAAAGGTTGAGACATTCTTCACATGTATCGTTGTGTTCGTGGTCACACAGCTGTCGAAAGTCTTTGTCTGACCTGTTCGATAGTGCAAATGTGGCACAATGATCACCTACTGTAGACGATTTTGAAACGTGTACCTTGTAATCGGATTTTAAATACTGTCGAGCTCGTTTCAGATTCTCTAGAAGATGACGATATTTCGTTATATCGAAGTGAAGTTCGTTAATTAATTTTTCTATTGAATCAAATGCATCGCCTGCGTCAGCGGCAAAGTAGTTAATGCCTTGTAAAGATTTGCGCGTTGATGCTTTGGATACGTCGAGTAACAAGTATAAGCTGCTATGTCCTAATGGACAAAAGCCAAGTGAATTTTCTTCGTAAAAAATATAATATTGCTGAATGATACGTGTCGGAATCATGTTTCGGATAGTGTTGGGTACAAATAGTTCGTCTGCGTTCGACTGTTTGAGGCATCGTTCGCCGAATGGAAGACCCGTACAAACGTGTTCGGACGTGATAAATTCGACAAAATGCTCCACTTAGTCGTAATCAAAGCGTTGCAGCACGGCCGACGACCGATCAATTTGGGCAGCATGACCAAAATCGGCTGCATGCTTGCGAGCGGCGGTAAAGCGACCGATAGTAAGGCCGGTTAAAAAAGACTGGATTAGTTTGAAACCGATTTGAGGTGCGACGATCGAGAGGATTTCGCGACGTGTCGTCCACGTTTCGGCATTATTATTGGCTTCCGATACATCTTGCATGATCGAAAGCTAATGGCCGTCAAGTTTTACGCAGCTTTTTCTACTTTGATGATCGAATAAATCATGTTCCAACTGATTAACATCGTTCGGAGCTATAATGCTCACTACATTCCTTATGATGGAGCGAGCGCACGATAGATAGTTAAGACTAATTTGTCCAGTCAGTTCTCGATAGTTCTGAGTCACCCAAGTTCGGTTCTTGTTGCCGCACAGATCTAATAGATGATCGAGAGCTTTGCGAAGCAGTTTCGTCGATTCTATATCGTCGTCAATTAAGAAATCTTCATCGACATCTGCATTTGAATCCTCTTCGCTTAATGATTTTCTTGCATGACCATCATCTTCATCCATTATTTGTGCGTCGATGGTTGTGCACTGTTGATTCTTACGTAGTTCAGCAAAACGTGCTACTCGCTTCGATCAATAAGCGTATTTGTAACCATCATAATCTGCACGACAGCTGCCACAAATAAATTCACCATACGAATGTTTGAGATTGAAGTTCGCATGAATACTTAGGGCATATTTACGGCTGATTTGTCGCAAACCCTTCGTACTTGGAGGAGATAGTCCAGACAATGAAGGACAAGTATAACACCGTTTGTGCTTGTTCGAATCAAATTGAGCGAATAGCTGATTGAAATGACGAACACAAATAAATGATTTATTCAAGTCGACCTTCGTTTCGTCCTCAATGTCAGCTCGGTAGAGAATGGCCTGAGCTTTCGTATGCGCCTTTGGAAATAAAGACTTGTTTAACTTCTTGTGTAGATCGGCTAGACAAATAAGTTGATCATTCTTGTTTTCATCACATTGATTATCATTGATTAAACAGAGTCTTTTTTGAGCCATGCGAGTAGTTGGACGAGAAAGAGCCAAGGAGTCGAGAAAGAACAAATAGAGTGAGAATCACAACAGTATCGAATAATTCCAATGAGAAATGTTTACTTTTTAAGCACAAATGTCTTTCTTTATCATTTTTTTTTGTTCTTTTTTCTTTCTTTCGCTTCGGTCACTGTTAATCCATCTTTATCTCGTTGGAACGGTACATATGTATGAGCTAGTAAAAGTCACTATCTGAGTGTAATGTATATCGATATCTACCACATTCATTCTTTAGTTCTTTTGTTTTAAATACGACATCGGTCAAAAGTAGTGTGTAAAGAGAAAAAACACGTTCACAACCAAAACTTCACTTATGCATGTAATAAGAGAGAGAACAAACGAGAGAAAGTACAAATGATCCCATTTTTTTACTCACATACATCAGCGTGTTTGTCAACAGATCATGACAATAATCAAACACATTGCACCGATATAACGGAGTACATTTACAATAAGAAAAAAATCTGAGACGAAAAGGAAACATGCATTTTGATTTTATTATTTATTAAAATGATATGTTTCAGACAGACAATAGCGCTTTCTCAAGTCCAGTCAGAATCACGTCCAGACCCTTCAGGAACGCCTTTTGACCTACCCAAACATTAGTTTTAGCTGTATCTGTGAATAAAAAGTCAAAAAAGCATAATTTTCAAAATTTTTTATTTTTCGACCTCGATGGTCGTTATTAGTATTTTGCATTTTTTAGCGCTCTCTCCATCTTCTAAAGATATAAACTATAGTGCATCTTGTAGAAAATTTTTTTCTCTACAAGACAGGCTAATAAAAATGGTGGTATACAAAGTCTAGCGTCACATTTTTTATCAAACTCTTTCAAATTCAAGTTTCCCAAAGAGAGTTTTTGAAATTTTTGGACTCCAAAATGTCATTCTTCAGCCGTGAAAAGTACGCCATCTTGTTCAGTTTTCTTTTCTCTTTCAAATGAGATGTTGCTCAAAAACATCAGATGAGAAATAGCCGAGAAAGAAGCAAAATATGAGATGCCCGATTTTTGAGAAAATTGAAAATAGGCTTTATTTTGAAAATTTCATATATCCATCAGAAAACGTTTGTTGGGTCTCAAATTTTGGCTACAGAGGTTTTTCGACATGGGCTATCGAACAAACACAGTGAGACGTGAATCTGAAATTTGACCATGTTATGTCTCTGTAGCAGAATACTCGATTGTCTCATAAACCCTCTCTTAAGAATACTGCACTAAGATTCCCTTCATTAGAAATTCTAATAAAACTGTGACTTTCCAGCTAGACAATTAGGTTGAAGAAATAAGGAATAGTTCATAACAAAGGGCCGATTCCAGACTAGCCATCGAGAATTTTCATGTTGTAAATCTAACTATTTTTCAAAGTAAGAGCAGCCTGGAATTTGGCAGAGTGTAAATCAAAGAGGATGATCTTAAAGGAGAATAGGATTACACGTGGCCGCGAGTGGCGCCCCGAAGGGGCGCCGACGAGCGACTAGCCACTGCACTGGAAAATTCCCTGAAAGAAAGCTTCAGGCTGTTGGGATTCATCGAATAAATGTCAACAGTGTAGATCTGATGGATCTCAATAGAGGCTAGCAGTGGTAAGGAACTGAGAAATAATTTAAATAAAGTGTGAGAATGGCTTTTCTGCACGTGTACAATATTTGAATAGTACATTTCACGGAAAACATCACTCAAAGAACTTATATTCGCTGGATCGAAAGTAGCTATGAATGAAATAAGAGGGAGTTTTTGTGTTGGTATATGTTCTTCTTTGTGTTCATTCACGTGTGGGAATATATACGGGTATATTCAAATCATCTGTCGAGTCCAGCGGCTACCTCGAGTAGGAGCTTCTTTGAAGTATGATATTCGGATTACAGATCAGGTCTTATACTAAGGGCAGTCAAAAAGTTCTGTCACTTTCAAATATTTATTCATAGGAAAAACATTTTGCTGTTCTATTTACAGTAAATATTCGAAGTAGTCCCCCTGATGTTCGATACAAAGTTTCATCCTCTCAATCCACCTCTGAAAGGTCTTTTGGTATTCGTGAATAGGTATTGATTTAAGTGCCTCGGTTATTGCTTTAGCTAAACTTGTATTATCTGGATATGACTCAAGGTTACATTGCAGACAACTGAACAATCAAAAGTCTGAAGGAGTAAGGTCAGGTGACTATAGTAGATAAACCATAACTTTGGTTTTCCTTCTTGAGTATAATTAAGATTAAGATTAATATCCTGCATACACATTTTTGCATTGTCGAGATGCTATGTTTTTTTTGATGATGATTTTTTCTTGTGTAAATTTTTGACTAATCTTTTTAAACATTCATCACGATAATATATGTAATAGACGCGTCTGTGGTGGTAGCAATATAATCAATACTAATATGTGAATCATTGTTCACCATATCTTTAACAGCATCAATATTTGCTTGAATAATGGCCATTATTGGACGACCACCTCGAGGATTATCTTCCAAGGGTTCTCGCTCGTTTGAAAATCGTTCAATCCATCGAGCAACTATACGATATGAAACAACACCTTGTCCATAAGTAGTAGTTAATTCATCATGAATTTATGTAGCAGTTAAACCTAATAAGAAGCGAGTTTTTATTTGTGACCGTAAACATAGTTTACCCATCTGAAAACAGAGGTGTTCAAAACATTCGTTAAAAATTTGCCATAATAGACACTTGTCAATCTTCGTATTGGTATTTTAATACATAACAGATGTCGCTACTAGAATAGGCCAACATGGAGAATAAAACCAATTTAGATGAAATTTTAGACAGCTGTTGTCAAAACTTTTTGACTGCCCTTAGTATAATTTATTTTAAGCTAGAAGTTCAACTGAACTTGAATTTTTCTAGCGATGCTCTAGCAAACAACATTGTCAGCCGATGTGCTATTAAGCATACGGATTTTTAATAGAATTTTCAAGCAGTATGGCACGTTTTCACAATGGTGCCACGAACGCGTTTTGCTTCGTGATCCCTCAAAAAATTGAATATAATCTCTCTTTTTGGAAGCTTGCGAATACGGCCGCCGTAGTGTAGTTCATCTAGATTTCTGTTGAATATCAATGTGTGGGTATCAATTTGATTAGATCAATTTATGACAAAAATTATCACACGGATTTGCATACCATTATACATGACGAGATTTACGCCAATTTTAACGTCCACACACCTGCCCATCCTTTTGAAACGTTGGATACTAGCTTCGTTGAAGAATGTAAAGTAGTATATAACACCAAAAGAACGGAATATTCAGTCGAGGGTCAAGCGAGTCACATGGACGAGCGTTACTTGTTTATAATTGCATGTATTCATTCAATTCCATTATTTTTTCAATATGAAATAATTCAAATGGCAAGTGTTTTACAAATGATTCATATTGATAATCAATCACCATCATTATTAATTGATGAAGAATTTCTTCGAAATAGTATGCTTGTTACTAAAGGTTATAATGATTTAGCTAAACGAAGACTTTATCGTTGGACTTATATGTTTTTTAATGTTATATCTGTTTATACATTATCAACAATAACAATTTTTTTTAAATATACAATTAATTCGTACTTTACATTGTGTTAAATCACATACAACACGTTTAAGAGCAAAAAATTCTATAAATGGAAATAATCAACATTGTTCTCATCAAACAAAATATTCTGTAACAATTATGATTATAACAATTGTATTAACAATACTTATATGTCGAAGTCCAACGATAGTTCTTTGAGTTTTATGGTCATTTGAATTAATAATAAAAATTTTTTTTGATTCATCATCAAGTTTAGTTGTACGACGTTTTCATAATATAGCAAATTTAATAGCTATTACAAATATAGCAACAAATTTTTTACCATTTTGTGTATTTGGACAATTATTTTGTGCTGAATGTTTAAATATTTATTGTTGTAGAAAAATAACAAATAAATAATTTTCACAGGAAATAAAATGAAAAGATAATAATGATAATTATGAAAATTTATTAAATAAACAAAAAATAATAATAAATATTAATATTCAAAAAGCAACTCAAATTCATAATGAACATTTACAAAATATTTTACCATTAAATTCTGAAACAACATCATCGTCACCTAATCATTCATCATCTCCTTGTTCAAAAATAAATATTATTAAATTATATGATTCATCATGTTAATCTAATAATCATGAATAACAAAATATTAAAATTCCATCATCTACAACATCATAATTAAAAGAAACAATTGAACTTTAATACGAACTTTTTATTAATAAAATTAAAAGCTTTGTAAATTGCATTAGATTTAGATTTTCCATAATATGCGTAGTTATTTTTAATAAGAAGATAGATTAAAATGGCTTTGTTTTGTTTACATCTCTGGTAATTGAATTACTTTTTTTTTTAAGAAGATTAGTAGAAGTAAATGTAGAGTACAGTTTTATATAAGATTGAATTACTATTTATCAGAAAAATTAGACATGTTTTTGTCAGTTTCATAGTTAAATATCTCTTCGTCAAAATTCAATATTTATTTAAATAATAAAAAAAATATATTAACGTATTTGAATGAAATATTTTATATTTTAGATAATATTATTATTATTATTTGACGGAGGCCGTAATAGTGCATATTAAATAGGTATTTTCATTAAGAATATTCAAACGATAGTAGTAGATAGTCACAATCAACATTTCATTAATTCCATTTATTTCAATTGTCAAACAATCTTTTAAAAATACAACTTTATTTACATCTTGTACATAAAATACAACATGTTTTTCAAATTTTCTATTTATTTTTTATACAAAATAGATCTAATATTAATGATTGTTGAGATATTATGTTATAACTTTTGATCAAAACTCTATGCATTAACCTTGACATTTATCTATCTACCATAAAACTCGATATTAGCAGCATGTCTTCATCCGTTGACATTTTGCATAGGACATCTTCTATTATTAATTAACAATTGCTTCTATTATATCTTATTAAATTTAAACAGTTATTTATCATTTTAAACCTTTTAATGAAACTATATAAATTTTAAATATCTGTACATTTAGCATTAATAATTGCATCAATAACAAGCACATATGTAACAGAAGATAATTGTTTGGAAAAAAAAAGAAAAAAAATTCACTAATGGCTTTTTTCTTCATACATTCGTCGATTCACTCAGTACAGATTTTTAGCAATAATAATAATAGTGATAACAGGTGCAACGGAAAAAGAAAAACTTCAGTTTTACATAATGTGTGCAGCACAAAGAGATAGAAAAAGGCATCAAAATGGGTCACCACATAGCAAAAGAAAGAAGTAAAAAATTGCACGCCAAATAAGATAATACAAAAGAAGAAGACAAAAAAAATTTTATTAATTCGTGAAGAATGAATCTGACCGACAAGAGAAATAGAAAAAAAAAGAAAAGATACATTGCAATCCTTTTGTCTATCATTCTCAATATATAAACATCATCATTCAAGAGATTGATCACTATCATCATCATCTTTAAATGAAAATGATTGAGATGGTAATGTTGAATTTCCACTACTAGTCACTTGTTGTTGTTGTTGTTTGACACTGTTCGACTGTTGTTGCTCATGTGTACCTGATTTATTATTATTATTATTATTTAATTGATCTATTTCATCATTATGTCCTATATGTACTTGATGACGAAAATTGATTGGTGCTAATATAGCAGCTTTATTTGTTGTTGATAAATCTGATGCAAATGTTGAAATATCTGATGGACCAATATGTCTTTTAAAAAAAATAATCAAAAAATAAATAAAATTTATTTAGAAAAATTTAAACATACGTTAAATGAACAAAATTTTATAGACCAGATATAAGTGAACGTTTATTATGATTATTTAATGTTGCACCACTACCACCATAACTTATAGATGATAATGTATTTGTTGGACTAACTTGTTTTAAACCTGATATTATTTGTAAACTTTCACCTTTATCTAAATGTGATATATGTGTAAAATTTTTTGGCCCTCATATACGGTGCAATTGATGATTTCATTGTACCACCAACACGAAATCTTCCACCATGTGCAGCTAAACTTTTTGAGAATGCACGTTCATGAACATTAAGTGATGGATTTGAATTATGTTTTTTGTATTAAATAAAGTAATTTTGGATGATGATTAAGAAGTTGAGGATCATTAGATAAACAAATACTACCATCTGCTGTTAATGAACGTGTACGAGATAATGGTAATGATTGTAACCATGTAGCTGATGGTACATCATATATATCAACTGATTTTTCAGTATAAATAAGTAAATATGGATGATTAAATGCTGTTGATATTGCTAATGCTATCAACATTAATTCTCTATGACGTGTTTGTATTCCTGTTGAAGAACTTACATATATTCCTAATTGACGAAATACCAATAAAAGTTCGTTGTTTGATGATGAATCTAAAAGATCAAAGAAAAAAGATCGATTAGGATTCGAAATCAGTTGGATGGTTTAATGCTCGTCGGATGCAAAAATTCCAGATCTGAAGGCAGATCGGCTCTACTAGAGATTGTCTTATGATATTTCCTTTCAAATTATAATTCGATGATGTCTATTGAATAACTTACTTGTAACAGGTACAACACGTAATGCTTTAATAGGTCTATCTCGAAAAGATTCTAATGTTGAATCTTCATCTCTTAATAATGATACACTTGGACATTGTTGGGTGTGCGTTTAAAGAGAAGACCCACAGCTATATCCACACCTACATCCACACGCACACCCACACCCCAAATATGTTGAATGATGATAGATCCGTTGCCACTATTTCTCAATGCCTATGTCACGCTAAATTCATTGGATTTCGAATTAGCATTCGAGAATGATTGATTAAAAAAGCACTCTGTAGTCAAAAGATATCCAAAATAAGATTAACTTGTTTATCGCACATTCGTGGGGCGAAGGTTGAATGGTATTATTTTTTTCACCTTGTATTTTAATACCCATAAATATTTATGTTTCAAAAAACAAATAGAGAAACCATATTTACAAGAAGATAATGTTTTCGTGCTAACCAGAAGTGAGAGTCTTTCTTAGTGATTATCAAAAATTGTTTCGTTATAATCGAACAATGAGTGCAGAGGACAGGTTGAAAATTGAAAGAAACTTGATGCTGCCAAGCTTCGAACAGACAATTCTAGTGCTCGAAAAAACTTTATTGAGTCATTGAAATATATAACGCGTCTTTCTTTGTCGTATTCAATGGCAAAATAAAGGTAATATCACAGTCTTCGTGCCTTTTGTCACTTGGTACCCATCGATGATCTTCTTTATATAGCGAACGATTGAGCAATTGTTCAGTTGCTTGTTTTATACTTTCACCAATATCACCTCCTACAGATTTGGTATTGACAACAGTGATTATGTATTTTAGTACATGATTCATCAAATCTTTCATCTGTTCTAGAATATTCGAATGAAATGTACTTCGACGCACAATCAATCGTTTGGATTTCTCATTGCAATTCTGATTGACGCACATTATTGTAGTTATGCAATGCATATTCATCTGAGATGGAAACAAACTACGCAGATCAGGTTGTGGATCAAATAGTTTTTCTACTTCAACCAAAAAATTAGTTTCACATTTTTCCAAACGTTGCAACGTTTTTTTCGAACATTCTGCTAATGTAGGTAAGAACCGATGTGGTAGATTGGCAAAAAGATTGTTGTATGGATTTGTTGGATCAATTAAGTACGGTTTTTCACGTATGGATACTAATTCTTGGACATAAAAATTCGAGAAAATTATACTGATCTGCTCATATTTGCTCAGACGGTTTAGAAAACGACGAAATGCACGGAGCATCGATAATGTGTTATTGATCGCTGCTTCTTCTTCTTCTTGTCCTGCCTTGACTGCCAAATATTCGATAATACTGGAGCGACCACTAACATATTGTTCAAATAAAATGGTACCATTCCAAAATTTTGCCAAGCGACATAAGTCATGAACGAAACCGGATTGTTTCTTTATGAATTCTAATGCTAATTCTGATAATCCTGAACTGTACAATGAAGATACTCTTCTCTTTTTTTCAATATCTTGTTCGTTTGAGATTTTTTCCCAGATAATGCAAGCTTGCTTTTTAATGTCATGATTTAATCCAGCATAATTGGATGCAGGCAAAATGTCAAATTCAAATCCATCTATTTCGAATTGAATGCTATGTTTTGTGAGGTTCGTTTCACCAATGATTTCGTTTAAATCCAATGTCAGAATAGTATCCCATTCATGCAAAAGCTTCTCAAATGGAGGTTCCAAATCATTGACAAAAATGACGCAATCATAATCAAATTTTAATGTTATAGATGTCTTTTTGCTGACACCACCCAATAATCGACATCGGTCAAGTGTGTAACGGGACTTCTTTTGTAAAATTAAAAATGTTTTCTGCATATATTCATTGCCCTTTTTAATTATTTCATCGGGAATCGACAAGTCATGTGAAATGCCACAAAGAATATTGTGCAACTGTTGAGATGTCATATTGGCTTGGAATAGAAATTAAATATTTCACTATTGTCCTTATCCAGTCGTAGAACAGTATTATGACGACTTTAATCATAGCTTTATAAAACATACAACAGTGGGTTTTTTCCCACTTGCTTTGTTTATTTTCGTAAGACACCTTGAAAAAGCGACTGATAACATAGCAAAAAAACGAATTGCGAAATTCGGTATCTTGAGGAGATATGAGAAGGAAAAAAATTATCACTAGTATGCACGTATAAGAAAGCAAGCAAACTTCGTCTTTCTATTTTGTATATGTTTACGATAGTTCGATGCCAACTGAAATAATTCTTAATGACGTTTTCTATTTTATAAACCTTCAGCAGCGTATTCCGAGTAGTGAGGGTTTGGATGTGGGTGTGAACGTGGATGTGAGTGTAAGACGCGGTTATGGGTGCTGCTCTTCTCCTCGTACAAATTGCACACCCAGGCCCACATCTACATGAATATTCAAAAGGATTGAAGGAAAAAATATAATTTGAGATTAAATCACGCTTTCACACAACAGTAATGAGAAAACAGGTGTTTCTCTATCGTCTATCATAAACAGTGACAGACAAATGATTCAGTTTTCGACTCTTCTGAGTACTCAATGAGG